TTTTTTTTTTTTTTTTTTTTTTTTTTTTTTTTTTAAGTGAGAAATTGAAATTAAGGTGCAAGTTCAGGTCACATTTCTACAAATATCCCTGATTTATATATGGTGTTAAGATCTCTCGATGATCTTCTTTGTAATGTTTTTGTTTCTTGACTGAAAAAAAAAAAGCCCTCCTCATTTTACCGAATGGTTAATATACCTAATAAGATGGTTAACCTACCTTTTGTTTAATTACCACATGCTTAATATACCTATTTTTCTATATACCTAGATGATTTTATGTAGCTAGAATGATTTACCTAATGATTCAGACCTAATAAAAAAGGACTCTTACCCTGTCCTATTTCCCCACCCACCTTATCTTCAAATTTTAAAGATAAATTTACCCATTTGTAAAATGACTTCTAATAAGAACTTAGGGAAAAATCTTTAATATCTAATATGGTTAAAAATAATTAACTTAAATGTAAAATGTAATATTTAAATATTAGAAAAAACTCTAACTAGTTCAAAATCATGCCTCCACATAATATATGGTTGTTTGCAAGTACATATAGAGCTATAGCTAGTACAAAAGTAATATAATTAACTTGAAATTAAGATGTCGATCGAGGAGAAGATTGAAATTAAGATGTCGATCCAGCGAAGCATCATAATTCGATGTCTCCAGAAGTGTTCATATAGTTCGAATGAAAACAGAAATGAGGAAAGAAATCCAGAAAGAAACTCCACATCTCTATGGAAGGATGGATTATCTGTCAAGATGCATGTATGGGTGGGCGTATGTAGTGAAACCCTTGTGAATTAATATCCAGACTGAGTTGTCAGCAAACCCTCGTTTTACAGTGAAAGCGCCAATGAAGATTTCATCATGGCAAGCGTTAAAAACCACACCTGACATCAACAATCGGACGGTTGTAGAACACGTAACGGTGGGTTTTGTTCATCTCCAGAAACCAGTCTACTGCTCTCAATTAATTAATTATTTATTTATATTGTGTATAAATATATCAGCTCAGCTGGTTCATATTCAGTTGAGTGAGTCTCAGTATAGTGGGGAGGAGAACTAAGAGATAATCAAATGGCGGAGGAGGTGATTCTGATCATGGAGGATGAGAATAATAACAATAATAGTAATAGTAATAGTAATCATAATAATATTAGTGTGTCGGTGGTGATTGTAGGAGCTGGTCCTTCTGGCATTGCTACCTCCGCCTTGCTCAATTCTCTGTCAGTTTCAAATCTTGTGCTTGAGAAGGAGGACTGTTGTGGGTCCCTCTGGAAGAAGCGGTCCTACGACCGTCTGAATCTTCACTTGGCAAAGAGCTTCTGCAGTTTGCCGATGATGTCCCATCCCTTCCGAACCTCCATTTTCATGTCGAAAGACGACTTCATTCGTTACCTGGACGAGTACGTGGCCAGGTTCAACGTGAACCCTCGCTACTGCAGTGACGTGGAGGAGGCTGTTTACGATGAAGAGGAAGGCAAGTGGAGGGTGACAGTGAAAGACACCGCTTCCGGGACGGTGTATGAGATCGCATCGGATTTCTTGGTGGTTGCAACTGGAGAAAATAGCCAGCCTTTTCTCCCCAGCGACTTGCCTGGGATGGAGACCTTCCCAGGAAAGGTGATTCATTCCAGTGACTATAAAAACGGGGCCGTTTTTAAAGATGAAAAGGTTTTGGTAATTGGCTGTGGCAATTCTGGGATGGAAATCAGCAACGATCTTGCAGACAATGGAGCACATACGTCCATTGTTGTTAGAAGCCAAGTAAGAGTACACATCACCTCTCTTCTAGCTACCTACCATTTCAGTTTAGAAATTAATTTCTCACTTCTTTCCGGACATATAGAAAATAAGTTGGCTAATTAAGCTATTGGGTGCATATAATGTGTTTGTCTTCTTCTTTTCTATCTTGCATGCAGCGGGCGTTGAGGTAACCTAATATTTTATTGTTCTCTGGTATATATGAAGCTGGAACGGCGCTCTCTCTCTCTCTCTCTCTCTCTCTCTCTCTCTCT